AGCCCTAGGCTCCTAGAACAGCTAATCAGCTTCATTCACCCATACATTTTAGTGCTTGGCACAATAACTGACACAAAGTAAGTAGGCATTTAAATGTCAATGTAATTAATGAAGTAGACATAAGTATATGGCTCTACCACTTGTTGCATTTATCTTTATATATCATTTGGAGTCATTCATAAAATTAGGATAATAATAATAATACCTCACTAAGTTATCAGAATAAATGAAGCAATGCATATAAAATTCTTACAATGTCAGTCACATAATAACAACTCAAAAAAATGTCAGTTATTTTTATCATAGACAATTCTAAGTTAGAAAACATTCTATATGGGAGTACAAATAACAATTTGATTATGAAAGTGGAACATATGAGTATACTCAACAAAAATAAAAGGAGCTCTGGTAGCATAGTTGCTAAAGCACTTGACTGCTAACCAGAAGGCTGGCAGTTCAAACCCACCAGCCACTCCTCGGAAGGAAGGTTGGGCAATCCTACTTCCGTAGTGATACTGCCTCGGAAACCCAAGGAGGGGTTGCTATGAGTCGGGGCCGACTCGCCGGCACATAACAACAACATACTCCAAAAGATGAAATAGATCACTAATTGGAGGAATCTAAACTTACTAATAAGAGAGGGAGAAAACTAGTTACTTCATTCCAAGGAACTAAATGATAAGTGGGTGCTCTGGTGGTGTAGTGCCAGAGGCATTTGACTGCTAACCAGAAGGCTGGCGGTTCAAACCCACCAGCCACTTCTTGGAAGGAAGATTGGGCAATCTGCTTCCATAGAAATTTGTTGTTGTTGTTATGTGCCATCAAGTCAGATCTGACTCATAGTAACCCCTCCTTGGGTTCCCGAGGCAGTATCACTACAGAAGTAGATTGCCCAATCTTCCTTCTGAGGCGTGGCTGGTGGGTTTGAACTGCCAATACTGCCTTGTAAACCCAAGTAAGGGTCACTATGAGTCGAAACCAACTCTACGGCTATGAAGAATCTGGAGTGAAGTCTGAGATAACTTATTTTTTTGCAGTAGAATTTAAAATACAGAATTCACAGATATATCCATGATAAATGTTGAATTTGTATTTTGCATTCATACAGCAGGCTTCAGTCATTAGATATTTAATAAAAATTAAAATTGTTAAAGTACATTTAATAGTGATCTAAAATATTACAGTGACAAATATTGTCAAGATGATATTACTAAAATGAAACTTCAATTTTATAATCACATGTAATGTATGACAGGTCCAATTGTCCCATTTCCCTAGCGACCCTAGCAGAATTAGTAAAATCTGGTTCACTAGTTTCTCATCATCCACATGTCTCCGCCTCTAGATGAAGGTTTTAGTCTCCTTATGTACAATGATACATAAGTAGATAATTAATATTTATATTTCTAAAGCCTACAAATTAGCATTTATATATATTTTTTAATTCAGAATAGAAAATGAGCATCTGACAGGTACATTACTGCCTACAGGCATAAGTTTCAAGCCTAACAGTGTTATCAACTTCCACTTAGTGATTTTCATTGTAATAAATATAAAGCAACTTGTTTTAATCATGGACCAAATTTATAACTTATGCAAAATTATTTTCTTATAACACACTCAAAATCAGGTGTCAATAACAGTTTTCTTTTTGTCACTCTTTTTTTTTTTTTTAAAATAAAATAAAGGAGAAATTGCTGGCCTCAATTTTTTTCCAGAAGAAAACTGTAAGTTTTAATAATATAAATAGGCAAGGGAATTATATGCCTAAAGAGGAGTTTTTCCTTTATAGTCCAAGAGCTATAACTAGAGACATAAAGAGATCAAAACTACTAATTAAAATGTATTTTTCAAATTAAACAAAATGCAAAACAGATAACATACTGTGTGTATTCATATAGTTCCACTTTGTCTATAATTAATAAAGAAGGACTATCAACGTGTCAGCATACAAACTTAAATTGGAATAATATTGAAAAGTATTTTACAACAGGATAAAAACAATCATAATTGAAAGATATATTCAGAATGAAAACTTATTAGACGTACTAGTACTTTTTCCTTTCTTCAGTGTAAAATTGAGAACAAGAGTCTTGATAAAAGGTTAAAAACTTAAAATAATAGCATATGTAGGGATATCAACTACCTCCTTTATCTTTAACCTCTTCTACAAGATTCTTTCTGCTTATTCTATAAACATGCCCAGTTTTCTGCCATCTTTTTAAAACCTGGCTTTGAAACTGTAACTTCTCCTACTATATAAATTACATCAAAGAGACATCTACATACCAATGTCTCCATTTAAAAAAAAATCTTCCTCCTGAAAAACACTGCTATCTGGATCTGCCTCTATCCATATACCCTTGAATTCAATATGCATTTCTCAACTCTTTTTATGCATTTGACATATCTTTGCTCCACACAGTACTACTGACCAGTCTCCCAGCATTTTTCTTTTCCCCAATCTTTGCATATGGCATTCTTTCTGCTCTACTTAAGTCTCTGAATCATTCCTTCTCAGTCTCCTTACCTAAGATCATTTTCTCTCCTTGCTCCTTGTAGTGCTGGCTGGCTTCTTTTTACCTTATCCCTAGATAACCCCACCCACTCCCATGGTTTCAACTACAGTAAAACCTGTGAAAGCCAGAACCTGTGTAAGGCAGAAACCTGTCAGAAAGGAAAACTGAAGGATTTTCCACTAACAGTGATAGAAAAGTGGTGACTACACCCTTTCAAAGTTGGAAAACTTATGAAACCAGGAAAAATAAGGCAATTCTGTTGAGTTCTGACTCTCACAGGTTTTACGGTACTTACCTGCAAGTTTGGTTTCTAACCTCTATCTTCAACTCACACCTCTCTGGAAACTTTCAGAAACACATATCCATCTCAGTGTCTATGAGATTTCTCCATTTGGTTATACAAAAGCACTTTATACCTCAACATTTCTGAAAATGTGGTGTACCTTCTTTCCCCCAAAGCCAACTATTCTTCCTGAAATCTCTATCCTGATTGATGGCATCCCTATCTATTTAGTCACCCCAGTCAGACACCTGGATATCATTCTCTCATTCGTTTCCAACTAATCAGAAGAGTTAACCCATTAGGTTTTCCAGGCTGTAAATTTTTACAGAAGCAGATTTCTGGGTCTTTTCCCATGGAGAAAAACTCAGAGTTAATTTATTTGCATGTTTTCCAACATTAAAACGTCTTTGCTCAGAGGTTTTATTACAACATTATATTTATGATGGTTTATTACAATAACTTCCGCATGAGTTTGACTCTCTCAACTTTTATTGACTAAAAGCATTCATATTTTACACAACCGAACATCCCCAAACCAGTCTATCCTAATAAATGGCATCACGATTCATCCAGGCATTGATGCCAAAATCTTGGAAGTTATCTTTGACTCTTTCTCTCCCATCTTATATGTAAATTATAATTTTATGGAAATTATTCTTTGTGATTAAATAGAATATGAATCTGACTAGAAACTCTCTAAAACCTGCCTTTGAAACTATAACTTCCCCTACTAGTGACATGCTATCTATATACCTTTACAAAAAGATTATTTGATTAGAGAGTAGTTTTATACATTAGTACAACACATAATATGCTTCAACAGTTTTAACCTTAATTATTCTTCAGTGTTAATACTCTACAATAAATGTATAAGATAAAACATGCTTAATTTCTTGGTTCCCAAATTCATTTACTCATTCACTCATTCATTCTCAAAAATTTAAAAGCTAGAGCAATACTTGTCATCTGAGCTCTATAAAGAATAAGATCAGAAATACAGATGAAGTTTTCTAATTTGTTATAAAATTAGCGGCTAAATATTTCTTTAGAAAGACAGTTAAAATTAGGTATATCTCACACCAAATAGGTACTAAAGCAGTATTTAATTTCTAAAATACTGTTGAAAAATATATTAGGTAATCATCTGTCTTTTTAAAGAGGCAAAAGTGAATATCACTCTAAATTATTAGTGATGACTTAACATTACTACATTATTCATCATACTGTGTTGCAATAAATTTAGTACAAACTCCAGGACATTGTGAGATGAAGATAGTCAGGCTATTTGCTTTTATAGTTATCCTTTCTCTACCTTCTTTTCAGCTGCGCCTTCTTGTCAGAATGTTTTCCTCTACCAGGTCTCTCTGTACTTTGTTTGATCTGCTGGTAATAAACCTTGGTAACTAAGTAATCTATCTCATCTGTCTCTGCTCAAGGCTTTGAGGTAGTTCTACATCTCTCCTACTTTTAAAAGTACAAGTGGCAATGGAAGTTATTTCCCCTTCTGGTTGGGGACCTTGGAGTTCATCTCTGGGTTCATAATTGTGGGGGCTCTGGTGGCATGGTGCCTAAAGCATCTGACTGCTAACCAGAAGGCTGGCGGTTCAAACCTACCAGCCACTCCTTGGAAGGAAGACTGGGCAATCTACTTCCATAGAGATACCGCCTCAGAAACCCAAGGAGGGGTCGGTATGAGTTGGGACTGACTTGACGGCAATGAGTTTGGTTTTTATTTTTCATTTATAGTTAAAACTCTTAGGAATTTAACCATCGGATAGTGAGACATAAAACCAAGTATCATCACTACAGCAAATTACAAATTCTATATTCAAATGATCTTTTCTAAGTAAGTCACTGGGTATTGTCAACCTAACACCCACACCCACAGTTCTATACCATTTTATGATGGTTATATAAATAAAAAAATTGTTTCTATCCATTATAATAATGTTGTAGGGAAAATTTTAAACTTGGCATAAGGGGCAAAAGGTGGATTTTAACTATGCCTACACAGAAAATAATTTGTACAGGTCAAGCAGGTTCTATGTATACAATACTAGGTAGAGTAATTTAGCCCACAACATATTGACTATTAGACCATTAATCGAAATGAAATGAAAAAGCAAGAGAGAGCTTGGCTTATGCATTGCAATAAATCTATGGATGGATGGGCATAGCGCATCTCCTGTAGCACGCACCCTGTTGCTCATCAAGTGACATGGATCCGAGCTGTTTGTTAACCACAGAAGAAGGAGAATCTGAAACAAAAATGAGATTTCAACTTAAAAGTAAGCCGCAGAAAACTGCACAGCAATGTCATGATCATCTCTTAGCTTAAGAAACAAATGTATAAGGGTGAAAAATAGAGGTAAGTACTGTGGTATGCTTCTCAAGCAGTGAGTAAGCCAGGCCACGTGCTTCAGATATGTTATTCCAGGCAAGCATTCAGCAACTTTGAAGAGTTGAAAAATATTTTTCTAGTACCATGCATAGACCTTTTTTCAAGTTTATTTAGCACAGGCAAAAGGTGCAAGCTAGATGATTAGAGATGGGATATCTCATTCACCAAACAGAAGACTGACTCCTTGCCCTTCTCAAACCACCTCTCCAGCTCCTTAACATGGCTTTCATCCTGCCTTGGAGGATTCAAGACATGAAATGAGATGCTTGTGCACTTTGCTGGATGTTGTTTGTGGCACCTTGAGTTGAACAAGGAGCTCAAGGTAAAATGTTTTAGAGGAAAAAAAAAAAATGTTTTATAAGAGAAATATTCAATGAAGCAATTGCCATCACAGAAATACAGCTAATTTAAAAATCTCTAGTATATTGTGCATATTAAAACTGTAATCTGTGAAAGCATAGGTTTCTTTAGAGGTGCTTGCTAGGAAAAGGAAAAGAGAGGCAAAGAAGGCTTAATGGTCTGGAATTTAGACTTTCCATCTTGGCTTCAAACAGAATAGTTTTTGCTTTTATCCTTTTGATATACTGATTCTTTGTAAAAATTTGTTTCATAAATGGATCCTACTGCTTGAAAAACACAGAGAGAGAGGAAAGAAGGTAGTATGATAAAATGGAAAGAACACTGGTCTGGAATTAGAAAATAATGATTCTAGACCTAGATCTGACAATAATTAGCTATGTGACATATGACAAGTCACATTTTTAGGCCTAAGCTTCTCCCTTCTCCCTGATTAGCCTAGGGATTTGGTAATACAAGCAAGGCACTGAGGGAGCAGTGGCTGCTTCCCACTTCTGGTTTCAGAGTCCCAGTGGGGTTACAGGAAAGGGGAAGATGTGAGTAATTAAGTATAGCTCTCCCCCAAATTAAGAATAACTTCTAGATTCTAATGTCTTGTGATCTCCTACCAAATGCTGTTAGTAAAGTAAAACTTTTTTTAAAAAAAAGACCTTGCATTTTTGGCTGATAATCAGTTTCTGCTCATAATGGCAATTCATTTATCAAAGAGTAAGATTTTTCTAGTCTATCCTGGATTCACACCAATTTTGTGTCACTCACTTGCTTTCATTTGTATATTTAAAAGTCTGGATCCTGCTACAAGGGCCGTCTATATCAACCTTCTACCTACTATCTTCTACCTTGAACAGTTTATTCATAGCTTTTATTTTTTACTACACTTTGATAAATCATGGTTATCTTTGAGATAGTAACTTTTACTTATCTGACTTAAAACCTCTTCATCAGAACATTCACATCAACACATCTTTATTACACAAAAAAGTGTGAATGACAGTATTTCAACCAACTTCCTAATCTATCCATGATTTGTATTCAAATTACTCATATCAGAATAAGGTACAACATTCCCATTTATACTGTTTTTGAAGAAGAGGTAAGTTGGTTTTTAGAGAAAAACAAAATATATTCCTTTAAACTAAAGGAAAACATAACAAAAATTCGACTCACAGTTAGATATTAGAAAATCTTCCTAGAAGAGACTTCAAAAAAACCCTATAAACTCTCCAAGCGGTCTTTTTTTTTCCTTCCAAATATGTAATTCTTCCATAAATATTGTGAAATGTATAAATCTTATTGAAATAAAATGCATCTTATTTTTTTCATAAAATTTAGGAGAGTAACTCACTGCAAAAAGTACATTTATAACTGACCTAGAAAGTTGTCATCTCCACAAAATTATGTATTTTCATGCTCATGAAGGATTATAAATACTGATTTAAAACACTAATGAATATTGACAATGCTGTGTTACGATAAAATGACTGCATTAAGCCAAAGGGGTTTGCTTTTTTCTGTTTTATAGTCTGTCAAGAATACCATGTATATCTGGGGAATTATTTGTTACTTCTTCCATCCTGAACACTAATTTTTTTTTTCTTTTTTTTTTTTTTTTT